ACAGTTTAGATGATGACTTGGTGAGGCATTAATTGGCCCCCACCAATGGATAAATTTACCTGCTAGCCGTCATGGGAAGGTGGGGAAGAAAGGGCCTGCAACATCCCAAGTCAGGCTAAGAAGTGGCCTGGCTCCAAGGAGAAAGACATTTAAGTGCTTGTTTGACAAAAGTTCTTTATCTTCCTTTCTCAGAGCCTACACTGAGGCTCTGCATAGACATGTCAAAATGACTCAGGGAGAGCTGCATGCCAACTGCTCTGGAGATAACTGATACAGCGGGGTGAATGTGGTCTTCAGGGTCCAGGAGACTTGGCTTGACTCCCATATTTATGAGTTCTATGCCCTTGGGTAGGATGTAGACTCACAGAGCTTCGGTTTGCTCATCTGTAATATGAGGTATCACCCACCTCCCAGCGCCATGTGTTTCCATGTTCACTGAGTGTGTCCCCCTGAGTTAAAGGAAAACTCCTTGAGGTCTCTCTTATTTGCCTTTATATATTCAGTCCTGGACTTGTGAGTGTTGTGTGGGTGCTCAATAGACACCGGTGACCGGCTTTGCGTTTTAATTACTTGACATGTCCAAAATACCAAGTGGAATCCCTAGCACAGAGTGGGGACAAATGCATGCATAAGAGCTCATCTTACTGACACACGTCTGAGAGGTCAGAAAGACCTCAGGAGAAAGCTCAGGTATTGTCAGTAGAATTATAAATTAGAAGAAAATATACTAAACCAGAAGGAATAGTTTTTTGTTTTTTGTTTTTTTTTTTTTTAGTACTAGGAATGACATATCAAAACACGAGGGAACTAAGGAACAGAGAAGAGAAATACAGGAGATTCGTGCTTTTGTAGTGCTTGTTAGTGAATAACAGTAACCACAGAGCAGGAAAAATCTAGCGGTGTGACCCTTCTGAAATTTGAGAGTCCATATATTCTTTTGCTCAAAAACCTTTAATGAGCACCTACTAAATGTGAGATACTTTTCTCAGAAGTGAAAAAGCTCCAAGAGGTTAGGGATGATGTCTATTTCTTTGGAGAAGAAATAGGGGAGTAGAAGGACTTTCTCTCCATTTTGAAAACTGCTTCATCCTTGAAAGGTCTATTTTAAAAGTCTCATCAGAAACCATGAGACTTCCCTGTTACGGCTAAGCCCTTAAAGTTTGCAGGAGTAACTTGCTTCCTGAGTTGTCTCTCAATATACTGGACAATAGCCACCTATAAGGATTCGGTTGCAGAGAGAAAGCCTTAAAGGTTCAAGTCAGGGCCCAAAACTTTGCCAACTGACCCTTTTCACAACTCTCTCCAGAGCTGACAGCATCATCCAAGCAGCTCCTGTGTTACAGTAACGAGGTGAGGGAGCTCTTCCAGTGGTGTCCTGACAACGACAGGACGCACAAGCCAAACCCATCAGACGGGGAATGAACCAGACAGATACTGTAACGAGAATGGTCAAATGCCCAGAGCACCTCATTCACAGAGGCAGGTTCTGACTTAAGTCATAGGTTAAAAGTTGTTCCCATTAGTGAATTCTCAGCCACTCTTAGACTACAGGCTTTTGACTCCTTGATTCCTGGTTGTGTGATTTTCACTGACTGCAGGTGAGTCTGCTCATCACAGACCAGAATTCCCTAGCCGGAAAGAGACAGAGGTACCATCATTAGGAGCACACCCCCTACTTCCAGCTTCTTCTGAGGAGTTGAATGGTCGTTTGCATGACTCCTTTAAATCAGTGCAACTTCTAAGGGAAGTGGAGAGTTTGGAAGTGGTGGGCCTTTGTTCTGTCCTTTCAATTAGCATCAGGTAAAATAGTTTATAAGGAAGCCTACATGGCTTCTACTTTGTCATGGGCTATGTACATTGGCTTTTATAATGTGAGCATTTCAACCAAAACCATAGTGAAATCTGACATTGACAATCTCCTGAGCCAAGATAGTAATGCTTAATCCTTAAAAAAAGGACAGCATAAATTAGTGACCAGATTATAGGCTTCAGAGTCAGACTCTAAATCTAACTGACCTTAAGTAAATTACCTAAACTCTGTGAACCTCATTTTCTGTATTAGTAAATGGACATATTAGTATCTTCATTATCTTTTTTGTGGAGCTAAACTTCTACTAGGCAATCAAACTTTAGTAGGTACTCAAAATAATTTATGTTAACTTTTATTTTTAAATAGAATGGAAAAAAACGGAAATGAAATTAGGGCATCTAAAAAGTTGACAGTATTTCTTCTTCCTCTTGAAATAAAATTATTTTAAGCAAATTGGAAAAATCTTCACTTTTATTCTAACACCATAGAGACGTTGTAATTTATAAATTCAAAATGAAATAGCACTACATGTAAAGTGTCAGAGCAATTCATATTACTAAGGTTCCAAGACCTGCAGTTCTTACCCTCTTTGACTTGTTCATCACACTTACCTATGAAGGAACATTTCATAGCAGTTCAAAGTTCTAACAAAGAACCATGAGATAATTGAATTTCATGCAACTTCATTTCTAACCAGTTCCAGTTCCAAGTTTAGGGAAGGGAAGAGTAATGCCAACACATTCTGTAAATGATCAACATCTGAAACAGATTCAAATCAGAACCATTTATCCAGGGCTTGCTATAGACTGGAAGCAAATAAGGTATAGTATCTCCCTGCCAGGAGATGAAAAATATAGTGGGAAATATAACAGGCAGGTTAAATATGTGTTCCATCAGTCCGAGGGTGTTCCATATTCCCTGATCACACACTGTCAAAATAAGGGGTAGAGATAAATGATGCCCAGTGTAGACCAGCAGTCCTTCCAATGTTTTTCTTTTCTCTCTCTGGGGTCAGCTAATATTATGACCTGCATAGAGACAAGGTTATGGCTACCCCGACCTCCTTTGCCTAAAAGGAGAAGTGGGCTCTAGGGGGAAAGAGGGGAAAGGTCTATGTGGCTTTCTGTGTTGTTGCTGTTTTTCTACCTTTTTCATTGTTTGACAGAAAAAGGGACTCTTCATTTGAAGACAATTGGGTCCAAGAACATAATGTTCATATTTGCATGTTGGAATATATATATTGTTTGTTTTGTTTCTGCTTATCATGTTGGGTTTTTTTTTTTTAGCACAATAGTGCATGGTTAAGAAAGCTTTAGGCATGTAAGAGCAATCTAATCTTGTTGTAAATATTAACTTTACTGAATCAAAACTGTCCCTTCACTCAAACCCCTAAATTCTAAGAAGCAAGTGGAAATAACTACACAGAGATCCTCAATGGTCATTGTAAACATATTTTTGTGTAGGTTTTTATTGACCTGAATAAAGTCTTTCTGTAAACTTTTTTTTCTACCACTTTTATAAGATGAATTCAGTTGTTTTGAAGTGAGTGTTAAACCAAAACCAACTGCAGCAGTATGATATAATGGATAGAAACTTAAGTATGTTAATCTCCTTAGTGTTTTACCATCTACAAGCGGGCATCTCAGAACGCAAATATACACATACAACTGCTGAAGTAATACATGTTCAATGCTGGAAATTTGATAAACACCAAGAAATAGAAAGGAAAATCAAAAGTTGTGATTTTATCACCTGATTTAGCTCTTGTTATACCCAGCTCTTTTTCCCCATGCCTAAAGTTCAGTCATTGACTCAGTTAATATGTATGTAGTGCTTCCTCTGTGCTAGGCAATTGGGAATACTTTTGGAAGCAGGAAATGCTCTTTATCATTTCGAGGATTTTTTTAGGATGGGGAGAGATAGAGGTGAAATATACAAAAATTATTTTTTCATTTATCGTAAGTGCTGTGCAAGGAAGTCATGGATGGCATTTTAGGACATGATATTTGAACTTCCGATGAATGAGAATTAATCATCAGAAGGGGCTCGGAGTGGGGGGGGTACAGTCTTAGGCAAATGAACTAAATAAACTACATGTTGTATTATGGTCTTTATTAAAGTCTTCCCCTATCAGTATTCTTTTATAGCATAGGGTTTATTATTTCATTATAGGAACCTATTACATGCAATTTATACAACTAATCTTTTAAGATATATTTTAATAGGTGCACAATTAAGAAATAATGGTGTACTTCATTCTTGTGCCCCCAGACTTAACTTATGAGATGACTACTTTAGGATAAACTTAAATTCATAGGAGCGAACTTGTTTAGTCAAAAAACAAACATGTTTTAAAAGATTCTTTTAAAAAAGCATATTGCCAAATTCACTCCAGGAAGATGTACTCGTGTACTCTCCCACCAAAATTCTATGGGAGAATCCATTTCTCCACCCTTTCAGTAACCCTTGGTATTAGTCCTTCTAATTCCTGCCAATTTGATTGGCAAAGAGGGAAAAATCATTTCACTGTTTTCATTTGCATTTCTTTGATTACTAGTGAGATTCAACATTAAAAAAATATTTTGGGGCTGCCTAGGTGGCTCAGTTGGTTAAGTGCCAACTGTTGATTTTGGCTCAGGTCATGATCTCAGGGTCGTGAGATTGAGCCCCATGTAGGGCTCCTCACTGGGCATGGAGCCTGCTTAAGATTCTCTCTCCCTCTCCCTCCTCTCTCTCTCTAAAAAAAGAATTTTTTTTGAATTAGGCAATGACACATTAGCTGGTTAGTTTTTCAGATTCTGAAATATACTGAAACAATGAAGAGAAGTAACAATGAAGGGAGGGGTTCTGATTTCTGTTTTTACTTTGCTATTTTTGGCTTGCCGTGGAAACAGCCTCTGAAGTAGGGGACATGGATACACAAAAATTGGAGTTTTAGTACTTGAAAAAGATTTTGTGAGGATCTCCAAATGAGAAATGTTTATTATAAATGCCATGATTTTTAAAAATTACAGAATGTCTTTATTATTACCCAAATTCCATACCACCTATAGATTTTAATAAAGAAAAGACTTTTATGAAGACTAGTGAAAAATACAGTCTCTACTCATGCCAAATGTTGCTGATAACAATATCTATGAATGATTTCTTCAAGTGATAATGCTTTTTTTTTCTTTTTTCTTTTCCTAAGGAAAAACTGGTCTACTTCCTGGATTGTTCTTTCCAGTCGAAAACTTGAATTTTACAAAGAATCTAAGCAGCAGGCTCTGTCTAGTATGGTAGGTAGTTCTGCTTCTACTATTATCATCCTCACAGAAATATTATTGAATTAAAAGTTTGGTTTCATCAGAAATCACACTAAAGCCTCCAAGCTACCAACGACTGAAAGCAGATGGAGGAAATGACTCAATAAACTTTTAATCAGATGAAGGGAAAATAGAACTTAGTGTCTGTTTTATTAAGTGGTGCATTTGGAGAATAATCACAAAATGAGATGAATGGTGAGCAGCTATCTAGTAATGTGAAGGTAACACTTTAAATTAAGGTGCCATTTATAAATGCTTTATTCTTATTTATGAAATGATCACTAAATGCAGCTACTTGCTCAAATAATGTATTATAAAGTATGTTATAAAATGCATTAGTAATAAATGCTTAACGGATGAGACTATGGGAAGCTGTTTTAAAGAATATTATAAGACGTAAATCCTATTAAACCATGTATGTGCATCTTTAATACATGAATTTAAGTTGTTATCTAGCATGGTATAAAGTGCTTCATACATTAATAAATAATAATAAACTGTTTATAAATGGCACCTCAATATAGGGTGTTACCAATGAGGAAACACTCTAAGTTAACAAAGTGATTTTTTATCTTAGTCTAACTGCAATATTCACTATATCCAGCTAACTTTCTGAATATTTCTGACTCTGTCTAATGGAGCTAATACAATTTCTGTATCCTGTAGTTATTACATAAAGTGAAATTTGTAAGGTTTCTCTATTGTACCTGGAGGAGGGCCTCACATATGCCCACAGAGATTTGACAGTGACAGTAAGTAGGAGCAATTCTGAGGTAGTTACTGGGGCAATTCGAGCTCAAAACCTTGCTGCCTGAGCTCCAGGGCTGCCACACCATGAAGGAGACAGTGGACAGGCAGCATGTCTGACAGCCTCCTGATTAGGAAGGACGCCGGGCAGGAACCAACCTGCCATACCCCATCGTCCTGATGGGTGGCAGGGAAAGGGCTCTCCTGGCAGGAGTTAACCACAATGAACTAATTTGTATCTGGCAGGTAATAAAACGGTGGAAGGTTCTTTGCTTTCCAGCCACTAGTCGTGTTTGTTATGTAATCCTCTTTAAATAGGAAATAGAAAATCATTTGCCAGGAGATGTTTGTTTGTTTGTTTTTAAATAGAAGAACAAAAGGTAGAATTTGGCTTGTTCCTGATAATTGCAATAGTCTTTATCCCCAAGTGGCTTGCTGATTTTGGAGTCTCGCTGCGGTCCAATCCGTAAACTAATTATAAATAAAGTAAAAATACATCTCGATCCTTTGTATTTTTAATTTAAACTGCCTCAGAAATTTGTTCTAGCCTTTGTTTTGTTTTTATTTGGGGGCTACAGTAAGATTGAGATAATCTTTTTAAGAAAAATAAAGTACCCCTAAGGGCTAGGCACAAAACAACTCCCATCCACTCACGGGTCCTTTGTCTTCCCTTTGAATGAGTTCTAAAAGGGAGTCAGGAAAGGGAGGAAAAGTCGCTTGCCTGGCAAGTTTGGCTGCTGAGAAGATGATCTTCCTCCTGCTGGGTGAGAAGAATTCCACTGGAGCAGCGTTTGTGTGAATGTTCTGGGAGAATGGGAGAGATTAGATTCCAAATTAAAGCATTCGCTTTATTTTTATTTTATTATTTTAATTTCCTCGTCCCAGGACCCGGAGACATAATTATCAGCTGCCTAATTTTATACAGGTGAAAGAAAACTCTTTTTTAGATTGTAGGCAAACCTTTCAAGGCAGCTCACTAATTGCCTGCCTCCAGTTCAAGCTTCAGAGTTGTAAATTGACAATAGATTTTGCTTCTAGAAGAAATTCGTTAATGTTTTTTGGCAGTCTCCATTTATTACTTCTGGCCCCATTTTCAATGCTCTTATGGTTTCTCCCAGGCACTCATCTTCAAAGTGAATTCAGGGCAGGAACTAACTGTGTTTTGTGGTAATGGGGAAGAGAATTACAGATTCACGTTTGTACTGCATGAATTGTCGTGCTAGTCAACTTCTTGGATACATTTCTAACCAAGTATTAAAGGCCTAGTGGGATAGCCCACATTTACCAATTCCAGTCTCAGAGAAACGATACGATGATTGCCAGGCCTTGATTAAAGATGCTGTGGTTTTATTTTGAAAGAGATTTATGCTCAAGTTTCTGAATTTCCCTCGCACCCCCTTACACATGTCCTGGTATTGTTCATTGTGCTTCTGGGAAAAAGTCTGTCCTTTCCTCCAAGGGGTCAGTAGAAACTGACTGAGTAGTACAGAATGTGGTTTAAAGAGTAAGTGGCATTTTAATCTTTATAGGAATGATCTTTGAATGTTAATGCGGTGGTAAGACAAAGCAGCAAAGTAGCTAGGAGCAGGGCTTTGAAGTTCAACCACAGGGGACTTCATTCTCGTTTTGCTGTTTAGGAGCTGACAGTTATTCAACTACTTTGAGCTTCAGAATCCTCATCTGTAAAATGGGGATACTGATATCTGTCAAGAGAATCAATCGAGAATGAAATTAGTTAATAAAAGAAAAAATAAATAGTAGCAATAAGTTAATTATGATAGTCTAATATACTATATCAAAATATATAAATCTATTCTATGGCATGTAATACAGGGTATAATAGAATTATAACGTATTTTTACAGCATATTAGTTTTGTACTTGAACTGATGCAGACAGGTGTAGAAGAGAAAATACACTGATTCAAGGAACACCAGCATATCTGGTCTCCAAAAAGAGAACTGTGTATTCATAGGCAGCATAAATGTTGGGTCTAAGCAATGAATAATTCTGAAAGTGAAGCCCTTGCTCCATCTGGGGCTCTAGATGGTATCTCTTGCATGGCCATATACATTTTCCTGGGGCCCTCATCTCCCTCCACTGGCCCTTACCCTGTGACTTTCACATTTAATACGGCAAGTCACAAGATGTGCCTGATCCCACATTCCACGTTTGACTATCTTTCGTTCTCACCGAAATTCTTTCAATTTTCAGCCAAGTCAGATTTCTAGCAAAAGCAGCCCCCTCCTGGAACTAGACACAGAATCATTTCACCGGTGTGTGTAAATTAGAGATTCATAGGCTTTGGGTCCTCAGTGACCTCCTACTCCAGGAAAAAGAGGACTGACTCGTTCTGTTTTGTTTGTTTTTAGGGAGGACATTCCAGAGCAACCTACCACTTACTACCACTGTCACTTTCTAACAGAAAGGGCATCATAAAATATCCCAATCCCACATCTAGATAGGATAAAACCTCAGAATGCAATGCAGTAGTCTTTACCAAAATGGGAAACTGTCCCCCTTCTGTGTCTATATACATTGTCTCTGTTTTGTTCACTTCACCTCGGAACAGAGAAAGTTTGGTCAAGACTGGCCAGCCCTCCTGCGTAAAGGAGCATTTGAAAACCAATGGTGTCACTACTGGATTTCCTGGATTATGAAGGAAAGGATGATGCTCATATTCTCATCGTTTTTTACATATTCTGATTTGTAACTTACTTTAAATGTTGAAAATATTGTCATTGGAAAATAGTGCAGAAACCATTTTTAGTAAAATGTATAATAGATATGTATATTTTAAAAGTTATTAATCAAACTCCTACATAACCACTGCCCAAGTCAAGACTCTGTCAGCCCTCTAGAAGCCTCACCCTCTGCCATTTGTCCCTATGTCATCCAGCTTCTTCCCTTGCCCCAGAATTCAATGCATTTTAGTCCGTATTTTATAACCTTTCATGATTTTCCCACCTGTATCTATAGCCCTTAAGAAATGTAGTTTTCTTTGTCTGGTTTTGAATTTATATAAATGGAAACACAGTGTATGCTTCTTTTGTTTCTTGCCTTTTTCTCTAAATATGTCATGCTTTTTCTTTTCATTTTTTTCTTCCATATTTTTTTTGCACTGGTTTAAGTGATGCCTTTTGTTTCAATTTTGTTAGTGGCTTGTTTAAGATTACAGCATTGATACTTATCAAAGCCTAAAGCGAATCAAATCCTTTACCCTCTTCCAAAATATTACCTTAGAATATATATATATATATATATATTTTTAAGATTTTATTTATTTGACAGAGAGAGACACAGC